TATATTTTTGGTATATATATATATAGATTTACATAGTTGCGCCTCCAAAATGAATTCATGTATTTAGTTATATAGGCGCTTTAATTTCTATTTCTACTTTTTAAACAAACAGAATAGTTGTTAACTGTAAACACTTAAACTTAAAGAAAACATTTAACCTTAAAGAAAATTCAACACAAAAACACATATATATATAAGAAATAGATGGGATAATTTGTGTAATCCTCTTGAAATGTTAAATTTATATTTTTTCCATTTTCTATATAAATATGTATTTTGCTTTTTTCGTTTTAAACACAAACGTTAATTAACTGAAGAAGTGAAATGTGTATATGCAAAAAAAAAAAAAAAAAAACAAAAAAAACAAAAAAAAAAACTAAGGACATTAAAAAGCAAACAAATACAAAAACTCTATATTCGTAAAAATAATTAAAAATCTATAAAAAAAAAAAAAAAAACAAACAAACAAAAACATAAATCAAGTTGTTTTCTTTTTCATTCATTTCATTTTACTTGATTCCTAATTTGCAACAGATGTGGCGCTTCTTTAGTCAATTATTGGGAACTGTTTTTAATGCTCGACATATGCTGCCAGTTGCAATCCACACTTTGTTGAGGCAACAAGATGCGGGTAAAGCGTACTGGATTAGCCTAGTAGAGGCTGTTCTAAGCAATTTTCCTCATTTTTCTGACTTTCAGTTATCTATGGCCTTGCTATTCGCTCTAATTGCAATTTTGCTGACGCTGGGAGCTTCAGGCGCAGCTACAGCGAAATCGAGGAGTTTGATGGAGCAGCAGTTGATGCTGGTGCGGAATGCACAGGAGCAACAACAGCGTAGCCTGTTGAATGTGGAATTTAAGTTAAATCGAGTGATCAGCAAATTGCTCTCTTTTACGCACATTAAGCAAGGCGACTCTCTGAGAGAATTGGCTGGTAACCTAAGCAAAGCGCTGGATAGTTGGGAACAAACGCAGGATCGTATCAACCAATTACAGTTAAGCTTTCAGTGGAAGAATGAGCTCGCTCAAAAAATGGAAGAAATGCACTCCATGCTGGCGCTGCTGGTGACCAAAAGTCAAGTCCCTCGGGAAAGGCAGAGACAGAATGAAAATGGCGCATTGGAAGCGGAAAGCGAGCAAATGTCAGAGATTAAGGCGACAAAGGAAAGTAACCAAGCAAATGTGGGTGAGTGTGAAAATACTTGAAATAAAAGCAAATATTAACTTACCCACTAAAACAATAAAAATGCTCAAAGAGTATTTGCAGCCAGCTAAGGCGGACTGCGCCGAGCTGGATGTCCAGCAGCGTGTGGATGGTGTTTACAAATTCCTGGAGCCCGAGCTGAATGAGAAGCAGCGTGATTTAAATGAACGTTATTGTGCGTTTGCCACGACTGGAGCCGCGTGGACCGTGATACAGCGACGCACGGAGCAGCTGGAGAATTTCAATCGCAGCTGGGATGAGTATCGGTCAGGTTTTGGCAGTTTGGAGAGCGACTTTTGGTATGGCAACGAGTTCATACACCGACTTGTCTATCGCGACGATTACGAGCTGCGTATTGAGTTGCAGGATCAGCTCGATGTTAAAGTGTGGGCTGAATATGCAATTTTTCGGCTAGATAGCGAAAGTTTCAACTATCAATTGGTGATTGGCAAAATGGATGACAACAGCAGCACGTTAGATGCTCTCAGTTACCACAATGGCATGGATTTCAGGTCCAGCGACTGGGATGGTGGCTGCTCTGGCTGGTGGTTCGATCGCTGCCTGGAAGCTCAATCCAATTTAAATGGACAGCGTATTATATGGGGCAACTCGCGCAACGAATATTTGATAAAAACATCGCGTATGCTAATACGGCCGCGTTCCTTCAATTCGTTAAATACCGACGAAGTATATGACGAGGACTCCGCGTATGGCTTTTAGTTTCAAAATAGTACCAGCGATAAATTGAAAAATAAATTTCAGATTTAAGTGTATTTCGTGGTACGTACTAGAATACTGCTACAAATAAACGTTACCGCCAAGTTGTTACTTTTGCTGAACGCATCCATAGCAGCATAGTATGAATATCTTTTAGTAGATTTTTTTTGGTAATTGAATATTTTGTACGAATTCACTGCTAAATAAAACAGACATGGTTATTAAAGCAAGGCCATTATTTAATAGCTTGGATACAAATAATGAATAGAAAATTTAATTATAGTTGTAAACATAAATTTTTCTTGAACTTCTTCACAAATATTTACGTATTCAGATATGTGCAAGTTTTAAAACCTTTTTAATATTTTCAACTATAAATTTATGTATAAAAAAACATAAAAAGGCGTAAATGCTATACGTGATTTTTAAATTAAAAACAAATTATTAAAATTAAATACTTCATTATTTATTTCTAATGTTATCCAGTTTAGTATTTTTTTAAGTTGGTCCAACGTTTTTGCGTTTACTCTCTACGGTCACATAGTCACTTGTTCGTGTGCGTGAGAGTGCGACAGCAGTACGGCCGATTGCAGCGCGACTTGCAGTAAAGGAGAAAAATTAAAAGAAGTTGTGAATTGCAGACCTTCCACTGCAGCAAAAAAGAAATAAATGTATTTTCTGTCCAAACAAATAAAAATGGCACAACGGACTGGTTAAGGCAAACAAAGTGTAGTATTTGCGGCACARGCAATATAACAACAACAACAAGGGCAAGAACAAGACGCTGGTGCGGCCACTCCTTTTGTGCCCGTTGTCTCGCTCCAGAATCTGTGAAAATGAAGTGTGTGTGTGCGTGCGTTCGTGTGTGTTGTAATTGAAAAAGTAAAGAAAAAAGTTGTGGCTACTGCATTTAATTAAAAAGTAGTTCTGTGTGTAGGCAATAAAAGTGAAAATTCTACAAAGCACCGTACAAAAATGGCAAAGTGGGGTTTTTTACGTCTGCTGTCTACAAAAGCTTAAGCTAACTTAACTAGAGATAAGCGAGCGAACATAGACACGCACACAAACATATACATACGTACACAAATATACACATACATAGCACGACGGGTGCTCGTGTGTGTGCTTGTTTATGACTCACGGCTGGCCCTGTGAGTGTGACTGTCGAGTGAGTTGTGCGAGTGCAAGTGAGAGGGCGCTAGAGCGCTACCTACGGCAACAAAACAACAAAACACGCTTCAATAGAATTTCCCAAGCATTTTAAAGAAATTTCCAGCGTTGCAGAAAGCAAAGAATATAGAGATTAAGAAAAAGAGTGAGAGAGATAGAAACAACAAATATATAAACATGAGTTTCGCCAAGTGGTTCAAGAAGAAGGAGCAAATCTCCGAGATTGGTGCCCCGACAAATTTCCAGAGGCATTTTCATGTCTCACGCAACCAGGAGACAGGCGACCTGGAGGGTCTGCCCACGCCATGGGTGCGCCTGATGAATACACAAATTACACGCGACGAACAGGACAAAAATCCAGATGCCGCATATCATGCAGTCAAATATTACAATTACTCAATCAAAAAGAAGGAGCAGGAGGTGTTTAAGCCGTTCATTACGGAGGATGTTATACACGAAGAGTCCAAAGAGATTGATAACTATGTCAATTACAAGAACAAGCACAAATCGCAGGATATTGATAAATCTGACGACGATGGAAGCGGCAGCTCAACGGCTACCGAGAGCAGTAGCAGTGGATGCGGCAGCTCTGCGGCGAATAGCAACAGCAGCAGCTTGAACGATAGCAGTCAACAGTCAGTCATACCGCTGGATGCACTCAATGAAGTGATCAAAGAGCTGGAATCGAATTTGGGCCGTGAGACACTCAAGCCAATTAAGGCGAACAGCGGACTGGAGCCGCCGCCTGTGCCGCCTAAGAAATCGCCCCATCAACTGCCGCCCAAGCCACAAATCAAGCCCAAACCCGCAAGCATCATTCAACACAAATTATCACGTGATCTGCGTGGACAGGATGGAGAGCTGCAGAGCAAGATCAATACTGATACCATAATCATCAAGCCCGCTGCTGCGGGCAGTGGGAGCCAAGAGGGTGGCATCGATGCCGATGCGCCCGAGGAAACAATTCTACGTCGCTCGAAGGAGAAGAGGTCCCAGAAAACGGATGCAGAGATCTATGATGAGCTGCGAGCCATATGCAATCCAGAAGATCCGCGTGAGCGTTACAAAACCAGCCAGGAGGTGGGCAAGGGTGCATCGGGCATTGTATTTATAGCTGGCGATAAGCAGACGGAAACCCAGGTGGCCATCAAAACAATTGAAATGAAAAATCAATCCTCCAAGGATCTCATATTAACCGAAATACGTGTGCTCAAGGACTTCAATCACAAGAATCTGGTCAATTTCCTGGACGCCTACCTGCTCGAGCCAGAGGATCAGCTCTGGGTGGTTATGGAGTACATGGATGGTGGCCCCTTAACAGATGTGGTCACCGAAACAGTGATGAAGGAGCGCCAAATAGCGTGTGTCTGCCGTGAAGTTCTCTATGCGATCAGTTTTCTGCACGCGAAGGGGATCATACATCGGGACATCAAGTCGGATAATGTGCTGCTGGGCATGGATGGCTGTGTGAAGGTGACGGACTTTGGTTTTTGTGCCAACATCGAGGGTGACGAGAAGCGCCAGACCATGGTGGGCACACCCTACTGGATGGCGCCCGAGGTGGTGACACGCAAGAAGTATGGCAAAAAGGTGGACATCTGGTCGATTGGTATCATGGCCATTGAGATGATCGACGGACAACCGCCGTATCTGTATGAGACACCGTTGCGTGCCCTCTATCTAATCGCGGCCAATGGACGACCTGAGATAAAGAGCTGGAGCAAGCTGAGTCCCAACTTGCAGGATTTCCTCAATCGTTGCCTGCAAGTCGATGTCGACTGCCGGGCCACAGCCGACGAGCTGCTCAAGCATCCATTCCTCGACGATTGCAGCGAGGTGAAGGCTCTGGTGCCCAACATTAAGGCTGCCAAGAAGGTGCTACGTCGCAATGTATAGTTAATGTGTCAGCCACATCGACGAGCTGGCCAATTGCTCTATGCGTGATGTGTGAATCAATACCCACTCTATCAATACAATCGTCCTGTATATTCGTATGGCCCGTTTGATCCCCACTCTCCTTCACGTTTGGTCAACATTCTTTTAGATCTGTATAAATTTCGACAAACAAACAAAAAATCTGGAACAAAATGCTGATTAGTCTTTCATGTAGTCAACGACAAGAGAAACAACAACAATAATCGTAACCAAACACGATATATATATAATATATATGGCTAAATATATATATGTATATCGGTCCGCCTGTCGATCAGTCCAACTGACGCACGCATTGCACATCGCTGGACGATAATAACGTTAATTGGTAAGTTTCCGAAGCTATTCAGAAATTCATTGCTATAAATATATTATATATACATATATTATATATAACTTTTGTCTCTATTTGACTGTTTACTCAGTCTGATCGGTGATCTATGCAAGCAACTAGTTATCTTATCTGATTTTCCTAGACACATTTATTAACAATGGTGTTGATTCCTTCTGAGCTTTAAAGCTATAGTGAATAATTATAAAAACAACCCTTTTTGCTAAAAATAAAGAAGAACTTATCCTAAAAAAAAAAAATATGTAGAAAAACATTCTTATAAGCATAATATATACATATATAAAATGAAAAAGTTGTGTTGAAGAAAAAATGACTAGAAGTTAATTAAGCACTTAAAAAAAACATCTTAATCGAAAATTTATAATTAAATACATTAAAAAGTGACAGCTTAATATACTTTTCACAAATTTGCCGGCTATGAAATAAATATTGCCAAAAAGTATCCCAAAATGCTAATATAATTTCAAAACTCTTAGACAACTATCGAAAACTTAGTTTACGATATCACATTTAAACTGTTAATCGAAAGATAATTTCTATGACATCTGTGTATGTATATCCGCCACATGTAGACGATATTGTCTTGTTTTGTATGGGGCCATCGCATAAACTGGTTTCCAATACARTACAATAGACTAGTCCAGTCTTTTGCATTAGTAGAAGAAGTGAAATAACATCACAAATGTTTGAAGTGAAGGGTCGGGTTGGTTGCTGGTTGGCAATAGGTTGTACAAAATGAGTTAATGAGTTGCCCTAATCAGTTGATATACCTGTGAAACAGATTAAATGCGATCAAGGTCGTTTTCAAGTTTGTGAACATATTTACCTGTGCGTGTTTGTATTGCATACGTATAACCAAACAAATGTTTTGCGCTTGTGTTTATTTCTTTTATTTGTACCCTAACTGTTGCATTTGCATTTGAATCATCAGAGCTTTCAGTATAGCATTACTTCTGTTCAAATTTTGCTTTCTTAATGGTGTAACTTAAGTTAATAGTAAATTGCATTGCGAAATTTAACATTTACATTAGTCACTGACCGGTGTTTATCGTGTTTTATCGATAACTCACCGCAGTGGTGCGTACTCAACTTCGAAAGCTTCTCTTTCATTTAAGATAGCGTCGGCTTGTGCTCTCAACTAAAATAGTAAGGTCCATAGGAAACTGGCACACAAACATACACATACATATACTCTCAGATATGTAGCTACAACAACCAACAACAACAACAACAAGAATTACGTATGTGCGGCAGCAGCTAACCAACGCCATTAAGTACGCTCGTTCGCATTTCCTGTTGGGCAGCAAAGAAGAGACTTGAAATAACGCATTGTCTGCCAAAAAAGAAAAAAACTTGTTCAAATAAAAACTCACATACATAATCATTAAAAAAATACTTCCAATTCACACAGACAGCAACACCTACACACATGTTCCGCATTTTCTTTATACATACATATTTCTTTTTTCCTTATCAAACAGCACTTAGGCTAACGCGCAGTTCGCACACACACAAGCACACATAGTCACACACACATGCATGCTTGCATGCATATTGTAGTTATCTTAAAATCCCCTTGCTTTTATCAAATTCCTAGAACGTTTTTTGGTATTTTAACTTAATTTTGATAAGCGCAAAAAAAAAAAAAAATTGAAAAACCCGCTGCGATCTTTGTCTAGCCAGAAGACGTGCTCGGTGCCAGTGTTGCTGTGCAGCTAATTGACACCGCAGTAGAAGTCGTTGTAATGCCTCCGCTATTGTCTTTCTTTCTTTGCTTCTTTCCGTTTGTCTGGCTGCATTTTTCCATCACTCACCGCCATCCACTTATTGAATTTAATTGCTTGTGCAGTGGCGGCGGCGGCCGCGGCCGTTGTATGGATTGGACGCTGCTCTGTGCTATTTTTACGCTCTCACTGTTACTGTGCGTGGCTCTAGTTCGCTCGCTCACTCTCACTTGATCGCCCTTCTCAACCCACACTCACACACAATTATACATTATATATGTATGCATGTATATATAAAGAGTGCGTGCAGTTTTCTACCGGATCTTCGGCTGTTTATTTGTTTATATTAGCGGCAAATACTTTTGCTTTCCGTTTTGCTTAGCTGCTCCCCAAAACGGCAACGGCCATAGGTGCTCTCATCAATTGTATATGTGTATACACAACATATATGCATACATACATACATACATACATACATATGTATGTATTTAATTTCGCAAAACGCTAACTTTCTTGTGGGCCAAGTGTCTTAGTGATGACAATCATGATAACAACAAAAATAGCAGCAAGAATAATCGCTTACAAATATGTACTTAATTCAGGAAATCAATATGGGCTTTTAAATTACATGTGCCATACACATGCACATATATATGTATACATGTATGAGTACGTTTGTGTTTGCCTGTGTGCATTTCCAGTTGCATGCTGCTTCTTTGCCGGTTCCAGTTACAGCTGCGGCTGCGGCTGCTGTTCCTGCTGCTGCAGGGAGTGGCGCTGTTGGGGCCAAAGTACAATTTCCAGTCTATGCGTGTGCGTAAAGCCTTGTAAAAGGCCCTACACATCTACATCTATATGTATATGTATGTATGTATTTGTTTTTTTTTATACCTATTGCAAAATACTTTTGACTCTTTCTGCGAACGACATTGAACGGTAGCCATTCATACATACATATGTATGTGTGCTTTTGTATATATGTATGCTGTGTGTATGTGTTAGTTTTAGTAGCAGTTTTTTGTATTTGCCTAAACAAATGAAAAAAAAAAAAAAAAAAAAAAATCAAAAGAATGACTAAACCCATTTCCATTATACGTTCAATTTTTGTACGTCGCTGGCCACCTCACCGCATCGCACCCTTTCCCCACTCTGATAATTTCACCTTGCGCGTAAAAGGTTTTACGTTATACGCTTTGGATTTTCTGTTTTCAGTTTCTGTTTCTGTTTCTGTTTTGGCTTTGTTTCGTTTATTGAACCATATGAGTTCCATGCCTTGGGCTGTAGCTGCACTCCTTGTTGTTGTTGTTGCTGCTGATACGCGGAATTGTAGATGATTCACTCAATGTGTATTTTGGTGGGGAGGAACTTCGTGTTGTGAGCTCGTTTTTCATAACAAACATGGCAACCGGCCTCCATCCACCCGCTGCCGCAACTGCGTTTGACATTTTGCTGAGTATACGTACATACCTATATATATATATACATATATATGTACATATGTACATACCTATATATATATTAAGCGAATGACGAACAACATAATATAATAATTATAATATGTTGCTAAATTTTTAAGTAATATTACGTATTACAGGGCTTGGCTGCTCTGTCTGGTAAGTCTCATCAATTGCATTGTTTTATCGTACTGTGTGACTTATACAACATGTTCCACATGCACTCCACATGACACAACAACAACAACAATAACAATAACAGTAGCAGCAGCAGTTGTGGGGCTAACATAGCGGTTTTCAAAGCCTGCAATGATATTTTGCTGCCGCTCTTAAAACTGGAGCATGAAACTTTTTTTTAAGGCATAAATCAGCTGCTGCTGTCTTTTGTTCTCATTTGCATGAAAAACTAGAGATAATTGCCGACATAACTGTGTTGATACTCAGTGCTTGAAATATATTTAAAATGGGTATATTATTAATGTTCAATATACCCTATATTTATATCAGAGGGTGATGTGGTATGCCTATGAATGGTTTCAGTGCGAACTGAAATTGGGTCACTTGTGCATGTGGAATGCAAGTACTGCCACAATATAGTATCGATACTTTCTCACTCTAAATAGAATATGCATTGTGTATTTATCATTTCCGTGCTGCTATTTTTGTCAACGGAAAATTGTGTGGAAAATAATGCTCTGAAAACACGGATCATCTCTCTCTCTTATCTGGACAAATTATAAATGTCGCAACAACAAAACTACAATGTGAGTCGAGTGGCACGGACACAAAATGTGGTTGGGGATTTCATTGAAATGTAAGCGTGACTTTAGAGCGGGTGCTTCACATGTCGATAAATGCACACATACAAATTTACACACATATATATGTATATGTATACATAAGTAAATATATATACATATGCATAAATACAATTATTGCACTGATAATTGACTGTATGCGCTCTCTCAGCGCTTCAACAACAAATACAATAAATGAAATAACAATAACAAGGCAACTTGTTTGTATTTCGTATGCGCCACCAAACAGACGCTAATAAAACAAACCTGTTGCGCTTAGCGGGGAGCGACACAAACAATATTCAAAATAAAAAATAATAATAATCAAAAGGGAAGAAATTGTTGTAATTATGCAAAAATGTGTAGATAAGCGCAACAATGCCATAAAATTGCATACCTGCTGCCCAATTTGAGTGCAGCCAAGCTTTGCTTCACCTGCGTCTTCTTCTTCTTGTTACGAATCATTGCCATTCGCGATGTTTCTACTTGTTTTGAGCTGTGTGCGGTTCCAGTTGACATTTGTATACACATATACAAATGTATGTATGCGTATACATATATAAATACAAATGTATTCATTTTGGTGAAGCCAACTTAATCAGCTGTCCATATCTTAATCATATTGATAAATAGCAACAAATTGATAAGACAAGCGAAAATGATTATTTACCATGTTCAATTTTTGTTATTGCTTTTTGTTTGTTCTCTTGAATATTTGTTATACACTTGTTTCGTTTCGTCATGCAAATTATGCAACGTTTATCTTTAATTAATAAAGGTCGAAATGTTAATTGGAATAAAGTTCAAGAGTACAAATATACACACATATTTACCTAACTATATACAAGCATGTTACTACATATGTATATGAAGATTCATACACAAATACATACATACATATGTACATACATACATATATACACATGTTGTATTAAATCCTTTCGATGGCTCAATGTTTGTGCAGACATCATTGCAAATATTTACCCTCCGACTAGTGTGGGGAACGAGTGTACAAGAACTTTTACAAATACAAATCTAAAGACTTCTATTTTTATTTTATTTGTGAGTCTATAAATATGTGACCTTATATACATATATATATATACCTGCATACAGGGGTATATATATATATTTAAGGTAACTTTAATGAATTCTGGCTGCGATTCCAACTAAGCCATACAGCTGCACTAAAATATCACGTACACTCTATGTATTTTTATATATTTATTTATAGTGGTTCCCCCACATGCGTTAAATAATTGACAGTATACTTATTGAATGCGTGTCTATATTGTAGAACTAGTAAAGAATAACTTTGAAATTAAAATTTTTTAAAAAGTCGACTACAACTTCCTACGTCTATTTATAAACTTTAGTCGACTCGATACATAGGAAAAGCTGCTTCTTTTACTAGAAAATTATTTGAAAACAATATACTTAGATAAGGTATCTATTGGCTGTCATTGAAGAAACAAATTACAGCCAGATATTGATTGCACGCGTAGGTAGGCAACTATAATAAAATAAATTTGCTAACTTGACAACAAAGAAACTAGCTTAGTCAAAGAACACGCTATAAAATCAAGCGTGTATAATGTATAACGTATCTATGTATACGAAATAAAGTGTACTCTAATTAGAATCGCAGGCCTCTGACTCATAAAAAAATGTAAAAGAAGAAAACAAACCTATTTAAATATAAATACTTCTGAGTCACGGGCAAATATTTTAATCGATAGCAATACTAACAAAAGTGCGCATCTCTAATTACAGCACAAGGCCAATGGGTTGCCGCTAATCACAACAATAACAACAGCAACAACAAGATGAAGAAGCCGAGCAGAACGCAGAAGGTGCAAAGCAGTGACGTCACAGCAGCAGCAGCAACAGCAGCAACAGATGAAAACGCAGCAGCTTACGGAGTTTGGTATTGATGTAGATTAGGCGCTTAGCAATTGTTCGACTGGTTTTTCTTTTTGCGTACTATATTTTAATATGCCTGAGACATATGATAAACATACATACAATTATAAATACTGCTATACAAATAACTATATATATATATATTATTGCATAAGTACATATTTATGTGTATATGACTGGCTGAGAGTGCCCCTGTGTATACCCAAAGCGGGTATATGCAATACGATTACGATTACGATTACGATTACGATAACATACAATAGTTTAATTATATATGTATTTGACATACGCATCCAACTGATATATAAAAGAAAACGTAATATTGAATTATTGTAACTGTTTAAGTGGACATTAGATTGATAAATGTTTAAATAGTATATACATATACATAATTGTGATTTAAGCGATTTTATCAAAGCTGCATTATGCAATTCTACATAAAAGTCGTCGTAGTCTCTAAGTGCAACAACAACAAAAACAAATTTAAATTGCAATACTTGTAAATTACCAAAAAAAAAAAAAAAGAAAAGAAATGAAAAACAAAACTCAAATGATAATTCGTTAAATATGTAACAAGTGGAAATGAGTGTAACAAGTGCCATTAGAACTAGCTAGCAGCAGTTACAGTGTGACACAGCAACAACAATAACCAACACCCATAACAACAAATAAATATATGCCAATTTATAATACTTTAAAATTTGTAACAACAGTAAATCATGTATTAGAGAGCAAGAGAAAAGATATTCCCAAAAGAAATTCAAGAGTTGACATGGTTCTATATTCCATTATAAAGTAGTACAAACATAAGCTAACCCAATCTAAAATATATATGTATATCGAAACAGAACCATCTTATATCCCAAAAAAATTGTCAAAATCCATGAATTCACAAATGAAGGAAAACTGATTTGCCATAAACGTAGCGCACAAATGAAATATGAGAATTGAACTATACAAATGCGCTGTGCTGTTATCTAACTAACGGTAATGTTGTGTCAAAAAAAGAATCATAATTCTCTATAGAGTATATATATTATAGACAAGGCACATACACATAACTAAAGTAGTTCCCATGGAAGTTTTTTCGCGCAGATGCCAAATACAAGAATAGTAAAGATAGTAAAAGGAAAATATCGAGAGAGATAGAGAAAGCGATAAGTGGAAGATAAGTGAAAGGATAAAAGTTGTATTCCATAATATTTCTACGTATATATACCTTAGCCGGAATAATTAACGAGTTTACGTTTTGGCCTTTTCGATTTAGTTGAAATATTTGAATGCTCTTTCCAAAATTTGTGTTTATAAACCAAAACTTGTAGCTAGTCGTTGAATTTTGGGCTTTTGTAACACAGGATCGAGTGGAAAGAGTATAAACATCTTCGGTGCGCCGATGCTTAGCTTTCTTTACTTGTTATATTTACACATTATGATAATATATACAACATTTTTATGCATTAGCTTTTAGTAGTATTTTTTACTCGTTTCCAACAAACCCACAAAAGTCAATGGTAATTCCATATTGCGGTTTTAGTAGCCAATGACTGCTGCTTAGGCGTCATAGTTCAATTAAATAATGAATACAAATCAACAAAACTTATAAAATTAAAAGGACAACAAAAACAGCTCCTATTTTAGTGCAACGCAAGGTTCACCCTGTGATTCTAACTGTAATGTGAGGCATAAATCTTTGCATTTTGACAATACTTTCTTTTTAAGTATTTTTTGATCGAGATCGCTACATTTGGAGTATTTTTCAATAGCTACTTCGTCACGATATTTGCAATCACAGGGCGGGCACAATTTTAACTATTTAGCAAAGAATATGAAAAAAATAAATAAAAAATAAAACAAAAGTTACATTCAGTAAATAAGTACGTAAATGCATTTTTGCATAATTTAGAGCTTAAATGAATTATTCATTTTGATTAGATCGCTTAACGACGACGAGCGTAGCGTCTTATTTAGGCAAAGGCAACGAACGATAAGTATTTTTTGGATGCACTGAGGAAAAAATATATAGAAAAGTATTCTGAGCCGGTTGGCAGTTAACGCAGACATACCCGAACATACATAATCGCAAGCGCATTTAACTAAATAACAAAGATAAGATTATAACTAAAAAAAAAAAAAAAATAAATAAATCCAACGAAACGAAATGAAACTTAAGTCTTTAAACAGTAGCATAAATTTTTTATACGCAATTTTTATTGCAATTGTAAAAAAAAAAAAAAACTAAATAAGAAAACTGTTTGTCATCCAAGAAATTTTGATAAAATCCTTAATCCGTTTTATCCGTAACTTATGAAAAGAAAATATGCAAAGATATATTCATAATATACATACAAATAATTGGCGCTATTTCAATATAAATGTAGTTAAAATACATATGCATAAATACATACGCCAACTGATATACATAAAATTATAATTAAATAAGTACAAGCAAATACTTACTGTGGAACTATACAAAAATCATATTGTGTGTGTGTTTTCAAGACGTTATATTCTTATTCTTTTTGTGTTTAGTCCGCTTTTACATAGAAAATTCCATATAACGTTTTTTTTTCTTAAATTATATTTTACTGAATTTCTTTTTGTCTGCAATTGCTTAACTAAGTCGTAATCGTATATTACGTATATTTAATTATAATTATATAATATATACATATATACATTAATTTTGCAATCTATTATACATTTTAATTTTAACTATGCTGAGCTGATAGTATGAGAAAATGATTATGCATATATTTAGTTTTAATTCACACACCCACTACGATAATTCACCGTCGCTTGAGTGTACGGTTATTTACAATTTTATACGCACAACTTGTATGTATTATTTTAGTTTGCACTGTAATTTTTATTTTGTGTTGTTAAATATATCGTTATTTACTTATTCGACCAAGCCACTTTTATCTATTAATTCAATTCCTTCTAGCCAAATCGACTTCACTGGATTTTGATTCAAAAATTCTACCTCCTTTAAATTCGCACAACAAATTCCTTAAATATCTAAAAATCCAAAATTTTCCCGGGAATATTTATAAGTCAAATAGAAAAATTTGTAACAGAATTAACGCAATGTCCAATCAAAATTTCCCACAAATAATTGCACTAAAAGTTTGCTTTTTCAAATTATGCATTGCCAAGCACCATATTTATTTAAACAAAAACTGCTTTTTATTATGGTCATTCTTAATTATAGCCAAATATCCTCTCGATATTTTCCTTGTGCACGAAAATCCTTGAGCTGCTGTGTGGCTTCTGCTTCGTTTAGGTTTAGAGCCTGTTGCAGACAGCAACGCAGACTTTCATTAATGGATTTGGAAATCTGAGCACCATCCGCACAGACGTATAAAACAGTTGTGGGCTGCTGCAGCAGCTCTACCATCTGCTCCGCATCCTGCTCCAATAATTGCTGCACATATTTCGGCTGGTCATTCATCGAACTCCGGGAATAGCAAAGACGTAGACGTTGTATGATTGAGGATTTTTGCCAGCTGAACAGCTGTTCATGCTTGAGCATGGCTTGTGGTGTCTTGGCGCCCGCATAGAGCCAGGTTTGGCCTGTGGCCAATTGCCGACGTAACTGCTTGTGTGCCAGAAAGCTTAGGAAAGGTGCCAAACCCGTGCCCACAGCTATTAGAATTTGATTGCCCTCTAGTTCCTCATCTGTATACCGGAATGTATTCTGCAAGCGGGGATAAATATATAGTTGCACTGGCTTCTTCTGCTCCTGATGCTGCTCAACCATAGTCTCCAGCATGCTAGTCGTGACGCCCGGTTTGTCTGCGCGTACAGAGTATATGATACGCAGCTGATCCGAGCCCTCCAATGGGCTGTTGGCTATTGAATATGGACGGGGTAGAAGACGCGGTAAGTGCTCTACTAGCAGGGCTAACGTTGGCTGACAGCTGGAGCACAGTTCCAGCAGATCCAGCAAGCATAACCCACGTTCCAATATGAGCGTCTGGTAGTGGGCGGAGCCTTGTTTGGAGGAGAGACTCGCCAGGAATGAGCGCTCTTTTAAGTCGCTGGTGCAATTGGCTAAAGCGCTGAGGAACTGCTTCTGTAGTACTGAGCGTAGCGAGACACAATACGTTAGAATCTCGCGCGGAGTTGTCAGCGCGGGAATGTGAGCGGGCACTTTGGCGCTCTTCTTGGCGCAGTTTAAGGCCAAGCTCGCATAACAGTTCTTGTCCGCCTGTTGAGTCAAGTTTAGGCGTTGCAGAATAAGAACCACAGTCTGTGGCGAATTGCTGGGAAGAATGCCTACTGTATCCCCGGGATCATAGTCCAGTGCACCCAGCGACGCTGTGTCCAGCGTTAGCTCTACAACCCGCTTCGTTGCAGTAGAAGCATCGGCGGCCACAAGCTCTTTGGCATCTGTTATGAGCACAGCCACTGGCGCATTATCAGCACGTGCGAAGGGAAACTTTAAGTCACTTCCACAATTCAGTTGACCACATGGATCAGGCTGTGGCGTAACTGAGTTCTGTAATATAATTGGTTCAACACAACGCTTTCTGAAATAGTGAAAAAGTATACACGAACCTGTTCTGTATTGCTAAAGATAATTTCGAGATTACTTTCCAATGGCTTGGCAGGCACATATTCAGTCAGCGTATATGCGTCAATTTGCACAGTAAGTGGCGAATCCAAATGGTCAATGCCGACCATTCTAATTTTTAAAGTTGATCGATCAAGTGTGACCGTTCTCGGTTTGAAAAAAATCAATTAATTGAGAGAATGAGAGTTTACATCCAATTTGATATATTCAAAAACCATTTGATTGTAAGTGTACATGGCATATATTGACTAACGGTCAATTCATTTTATTCAACATAAAAAACTTTAAATAGCTAGATATATTTAGCAAATTAGCAATAAGTATCGCTTAAGTGTATGCCCATCTCTAGTTGAGTGCTGCTTTGTTGTTAGAGAGCAAATAATGCATATTAAAACCGTATGCCAATGTGTCCACACTAAGTGAGTGTTAAATAAAAATTCAGAAGACGCACAATAATACAAATCATTGCACCCGAAATTTCTAGTACAAATAGAAATTGAAAACTAGGTAACATTATGGCAGGGAAAGATACTAACGATGAAGAATTCCAAGATGCACTTAGCGAGCCCGCGCCGTCCCCACAAAAAGCGACAACCAATAAGCCAGATCATGAGAAATTAATAGATGACATTATAGAAAAGAACAGTAAACTAAGTCTTACGGATGATGAAGGAGGTGCCGCGGGTGCCGAAGGTGCGAGTAATAAGGACAATGATGATGACGAAAGTGGTGACAAAGCTGATGTGATACAGCCCGATGGAGAACTTAGCTTAGAAGAGCTGCAACTACAGGAGAAAGAGTTGAGTGTCGAGCAGCTGGCCGCTAACAAAGAGAAGGCGGACAAGCTGAAGCTCGAAGGCAACGAACTCTTTAAAAACGATGAGCCCGAACGTGCCATTGTTGTATACACAGAAGCACTGAACATTTGCCCCTCCGTGAATAGTAAGGAGCGTGCTGTGCTGTTTTGCAATCGCGCTGCGGCCAAGATGAAGCTGGAGGCCAATAAAGCTGCTATTAGCGATTGCACACAGGCCATAGAACTAAATCCAGTATATGTGCGTGCGTTGTTACGGTATGTGTTAAAAATAACCAGAAGAAATGCAGTTCTAATTTGTATTTATTAAATAGGCGAGCCAAGCTATACGAACAGGATGAAAGACCAGATGAAGCATTGACAGATTACAAGCGTGTCTATGAAATCGATCCTGGCCAGCCTGAAGCACGAGAGGCTCAAATACGTCTGCCAGCTTTGATAAATGAGCGCAATGAAAAACTTAAAACCGAAATGCTGTCCAGTTTAAAAGGTTTGGGTGATATGATATTGAAGCCTTTCGGCTTGTCTACCGCGAATTTTCAAATGCAACAAGATCCTAATTCTGGTTCATATTCCATTAATTTTAATCAAAATAACAGTTAGTACGCAATGCTGTGTCAAGTTTGTTAAAAGAATAAAGTTGGATAAATCATAAGAAAGGCGTGTGAGGATTTTATTGGTGTTCAGCTGATTGCCAGTGTGTACAAATATGTGACGGCATACAACAGTGTGACCACTCACTCTTCCGAGCGACAGCTGACTTTGACACCTGCTGTCGTCGTACTGAAAACGAAAGAAGAAGAAGAATAGTTGATTGAAAGTTGAAATTTTATGTTTTTAAAAAATAAATTTTTACAAAATTAATTTCGTTTAATTGACGTGACATTTTCGGAACCCTTCACAACATAGTGGGCTGATCGCGAGTACCAGTGCACAGTTATCAGCTCTCCCGTGTGCCAATGAGGCTTTTGGAAAGTCCTATTGTGTTATGACTTTGTAAATAATCATTGTGGGCTAATGCTGTTCTATTATTAGTATTCAGTGTACCCAGTTAATGTTGTAGTTAAGGCATAGTATTTATTAATACTCGCATAATGTTTCGCAGTCGTAGCTGGTTTGGCGGCCCGTGGGGTGGACGCCCCAAAAATCGGTTATCATTGGAGCACCTTAAGTACCTGTACAGCATTTTGGAAAAGAACACAACCGTATCGGAGAGCAACCGCGGCTTGCTGGTTGAATCATTGCGCTGTATAGCCGAGATACTTATATGGGGTGATCAGCATGACTCTCTGGTCTTTGAGTAAGCATAGCGGTCTATAATTTAAATATGTACAGATATTATAAAATTGACTATTTCTATTTTCGCAGTTTCTTTTTAGAGAAAAATATGCTCTCGTACTTCCTGCACATCATGCGTCAAAAGAGCGGCGGCTCTAGTTACGTTTGCGTCCAATTACTTCAGACACTTAATATTCTCTTTGAGAACATCAGAAATGAGACGTCGCTGTGTACGTAAATATTTGCTTACTAGAATAGCAATGTAGATCCTCTATATAATTGTTATCCTTCTGAGATATGCCTGTATATCACGAATGGTTTATAGCATTGGCAATATTGGTTAGAATATTAGGTTTAAAATGGAATTATTAAATAATTTTGCTGTTGTTACTTATATTTGACTTTTCAGATTATCTACTAAGTAATAACCATGTCAATTCTATAATGGTGCACAAATTTGATTTCTCCGATGAGGATGTTATGGCCTATTACATACTGTTTCTGAAAACGTTAAGCTTGAAGCTCACCCCACACACCATACACTTCTTCTACAACGAGGTGGGCTCTCTTAACATATATTATTAAACCAATTTAATGTTTGTGGTTTTTATCAGCACACAAATGACTTTCCACTCTACACGGAAGCTATTAAATTCTTCAATCATCCCGAGTCGATGGTACGCATTGCTGTGCGCACAATTTCTTTAAATGTATATAAGGTGCAAAATGCAAGCATGCTGCGGTTTATCAGAGACAAGTGAGTGGTAAAACGTAGACGGAAGATAGACCATTAATAACTCGAAGTTTAAATTTATTAGAACGGCTGCGCCCTATTTTAGCAATATAGTTTGGTTTATCGGTAAGCACATATTGGAGCTGGATACCTGTGTGAGGACAGACATAGAGTAAGAAAATAAATTTTTTCATGTTATATTTTTACTTATACTGAATCCTTATTACTGTTCAGCCACCAATCGAATCAGAAACTTTCCAATTTGGTTGCCGAGCATCTCAATCATTTGCACTATTTAAACGACATCCTGCTATTGGATATCAAAGATTTGAATGCAGTGCTCACCGAACACTTGCTGCACAAGTTGTTTGTGCCTTTGTACATATTCTCGCTGACACCAGCGCCGCCGCCGCCCTCATTAGCTTTGGTCACCCAAAATTTGGCAGCTGTACTAAATCGCAATGTGGATATTGACATACAGGAGATTCATCATCCGCGCGTTAGCTCTATTGTGGCACTCTATTTGTTGTCGCTGGTCTTTTTAGTTGTCACCCATGAGCCGCTAGTGCATGCCTTGGCCTGGGTCATATTAAATGGGGATCATAGCGTATTCAAAGAAGGAGCAGCCGAAATACTCAATTCCTATGTGGAGCATCGCGAAGTAGTGGTGCCGAGCTTTGGTGAACCACACGAGAGTCTTGAACAGGCATTGGACACGGTTGTAGGCCACACGGCTAACTACAGCGGCGATGCAATTAGCGAGGATAGCGGCGTGGAGTCAACGCCAGCAGCGACAGCGTCTCCATCAAGCCAGCAAACAGAAACTGTCGCCGAAGATGCAGCAAACCAGTTACGTAATATTACCGACGAGGAGAAACAGATGCTTCAACAGTCGACATCAGCGCAGACCGTCTCTGAGCTTCCTAATCCATTTTTGGAAACCGTGCTGCAAGCACTTGATTGTACAGAGAATGATTACCTGGCTCTCTTGGCGCTTTGCCTCATTTACGCCATGTCCCACAATCGAGGTGAGTTTGACTGTTGCAAAGTCAGTAGATTTAAGCTAGGCTTCAGCTGCGCCAATTCTCAGTTAACTTTGCCTGTTTCACATCTCTCTCTCCCTCTCTGCTCATTTCATTGATATTTGTGTGGTATTAAAAAATGATATTTCAAAAAATAAAAATGCGTAATCAACATGGCATCTTTTACCAGATGGTACGTAACTTGTTCATTCCCTCATACTAATGTTTAAATGTTAGCTCGGGAGTTGCATCACATTTCGCTTATTTATAACTCTTTTACCTATTCGCAGGCATGAAGAACGAGTGGTTCGAACAGGTACTGTCGAAATCTATGCGAGGCTCGTTCAGCTATAAGACGGCGATAATTGAACATCTGCTTAATATCATCACACAATCCAGTCAACCATGTAAGTTAATCTATTTGTGACATATTCATTTTTTATATTTATTTACACTCTTATAGCTTGTCGCATTCGACTGATCACGGCTGAGATTGCATTGGAACTGCTGCTGACCTTCACCAAGCCCGCCGCAGATGATGCACCTTGCATAACGAGCTCGCAGCAGAGTTTGCTTTTCAGTGCTCGTAATCAATCCATGGTTGTGCTGCGTAACTTTTACAAATCAGAAGATATATTCCTCGATCTATTCGAGAACGAGTACAATGAGATGCGTAAGGCGCAGCTGAATGTCGAATTTCTCTGCACGTACTCGACCATTCTGTTGCCACCCACGGGCACACCTTTAACGGGCATTGAATTTACCCACCGTCTGCCTTGCGGCGAGGTTGAAAAGGCTCGACGAGCCATACGCATCTACTTTCTGCTGCGCCGTACGTGCCAAAAGTTTTTAAATGAGAAGGAAACACTGCTGCCGTTGACGAATGTGGTGAACCTGGTGCAGGTGGACAATGTGCTCGATCTGAGTGAGTGTCTGATGATCAGAGTTGTTAATCCATTGCTTAAACGTATTTACTGCTTGTAGATAATAGTGATTTAATTGCATGCACTGTGGTGTCTAAGGATAATACCAAACAACGGCGTTTTCTGGTCATTGATGCACTGCAGCTCATACTCGTGGAGCCAGATGCCAAGTTGTTGGGATGGGGCGTGGCCAAGTTTGTGGGTTTCTTACAGGATGTGGAAGTGCAGGGCGACAAGGATGACTCCCGTTGCCTGCACATCACGGTACATCGTGGCGGCGTCACACATAATCGTACGCCGCTTCTTTCAGCCAAATTTTTATTCGATGATCATATACGTTGCATGGCGGCCAAGCAGCGTCTTACGAAAGGTCGCAGCAAGGCGCGTCAAAAGAAAATGTATCAGATTGCACAGCTAATCGAAATACCCGGCCAGCTGGACTCGCCACTGTATCCGGTGTGTGGCACCTCAACGCATTGTGGCAACTCGCGCCTGGCCCAAAAGGGCGCAAATTTAACTGCGAGTCGAGTGCCTGGTTTTGCAGCTGTGCTGCGTGGCAATAACAGTGCCGGTGTCAGTCGTACTCAAATGGCACAGAACCGCTCCATAGAGGGGTAAACACAATTGAAATCTTTCACATGTAAATGAATCTAATATATTTAAAATCTTAGCATACGTAATGAAAGCGGCAGTCGCTCACGTCGTCGAAGTCCCAATGCCGGCTCTAGCTCACCGTCCTCATTGCGGACAGCCAATGCTGATCTGGATCGGGATCGTTCGCCCAGTGGCAGTGGAGGCAGTCACAGCTCCTCGCAGTCGAGAGAGAACTCACATGCGCGTGGCTCCGGCAATCGGTCGCGTGAGAGCAGCCCACGCATGCCAAGACCACGGTAAGTGTAATAGCAGTGATTTATGCTTAACTTAGCTAACTTACATTTTGCTCGGCAGATCTGAGGAAATTCCTTTGGAAGATTTTCCACATTCACGTAATAATAGTCCGCATTCTCGAGGCGCTATGGGAAACCCATCTCCATCCTCTCGCTCACATACTCCATCGCGAGCGTTGCACTTTGATCAGATATCGGTGCACAGCGGCTCGCCACGAGAGTCGTCGTGTGTGCTGGGCACGAATGCGTTGCTGAGCCAATTGAATGGTAGTGTAGCCATTGCAAGAGAAGTGATCCCTGTTCAAAGTTCCGAAGAGACCTCCTTTATAGGCAATGATGTAGAGGCTGACAACAGACGCAAGGGCAGGGGCAACATTGAAACGGTTTAATAACAATTATTACGATCTACTGTGCATATTGTGAAAGTTAAATTGTCGCTACAATTTTGTTATTCCAATTAATGTTAATTTAGTATTGATTTAGAAATAAACGTTGATTTGACGAATTTAAAATCTTCAACGGATTTTGAGCAACAGCTGTATTATGTAAAGTTAACAGCTAGCAGTTAAAGTCGATATCGATTATTTTTTATTGTCATCACTAAACAGCTGTCTGTTGTAATGTGGAACAGCCGGGTGACATAACCCCCAACATTTTGTTTAATAAATAATATTCAAATCAAAGCGAATCCTAACTAAAAATGTCCAACTTTAAATATAGTGAGCTTATTAAGCTTGGCACACAATATGCGCGTCGTATGAATTACCTGTCGAATCGCATCTTTGGCGAGGTGGCGCGCACAACAAATGACAAGTCAATGAAGGTCTTGCGTTAAAGCTTTGAAAGTTATTTATGAAGTTTGATAACTAATGAATATTTATTTACAGGTCGTTCGGATGTTCTCCGAGGAGCCCATACATAAACGAGACTATGTGGTTAACTGGTATCCACGACATGTGGAAACACATTTGCTAATGAAAAATCTGCGGGACTACGGACTGTTCCGCGATGAGCACCAGGACTTCAAGGAGGAAATGAAGCGTTTGCGAAAACTGCGTGGCAAAGCACCTCCTAAGAAGGGCGAGGGCAAACGATCAACTAAGAAATAGACAACAGATTCACTAAAAACAATTGTATTTTTTATTAGTATCAACTAAACAATCCCTTTGGGTGCCAACAATTTAGCATTCCCCGCAAAGACAACGTCATTGTGTTGTCTGCACTCGTACTCCACAGTCGCGATTTTGCGCGCTTTGATTAAACGCACAGTCACTAAGGTATCCGTTTCTATGCGACAAGGTTTCAAGAACTTGAAGCTTTGCTCAAGCACCACTGTGCCTGGTCCTGGCAATTGTGTTCCTATAATGCCAGCAACAACTGCATTAAGCAGTGCGCCATGAACGCGTCGCTCTGTGATGGGCGTGTCATTACTATGTATATAATTCGAATCACCGGTGAATTGAGAAAATATTTCAAGATCCTTCTGTGTAAACCGTTTTATCACTTGAACCTGTTTTAGTTTGGCTTGTGGCTGGCTGCACAGCTGTCGACGTAGCTGCAGTAGCATTGTGGAGCTGGGTTACTTCGGTCCGAGAGCCGAAATCTTCCAGGAAAACTATGCAAAGCTTAACAACGCGTTCGTCGTTAGATGATTGCCGCCAATGTAAAACTCGCTTTAGCAATGCTGGCGTTACGATTTCCTCTTTGCTGCTCAGTCCTGCGCTCAGCAGTTGATAATACAGTGCCAGGCTATGCAGCACGGTATCAGCCTTCTCTGTGCTTAGGAAAACGTTTCTGAGTATGGCAATTTTTGCAACTATGAATTTGGCGGCGATCTCGTCTGCGAATTACAAAAGTATGCTAATAGAAATCTAGCGATTGCCTGAAAACAACGTTACCCAAGCAAAAATTACACAGTGCCGCTGCTGCATGCAGCTGAAGATTAGGGTTCTGGGTGTCCAGAGCTGTCACAAAGACTTCCAAAGCTTCGGCTTCATGCAGATAGGGCCAGTTTATTGGATCGTATGCAAAGTTTGCCAAGTTTGCGGTTACTTGCTCCAGGGCCTCTGGTGATGTATTTTATAGTGTTGATAGTGCTGCTGAATTTGGCGGGGCGAATGCTTACCAACGTTTGTTGATGTGTAATATTCATCCACCAGGTGGCCAATATATTCACGTCGGTCTATGCCTTCTGCCGGTGTCTTGCGTTTTAAATAACGATGGCTCGAAAACATCGAGAGTTAAAAGCTACATGTATAATGCAACAGTTAAGTATAATCACTAGACACAGTGATTAGTGGTATAATAATAACATACTGTAGCTATTTGCTTGTATACTTAACATTCTCAGAAAATCCGATCAGCTGTTACTTATTCATTGAGCGCGGTAAAATAAGTACTAACATATATTTACCAATTTCCCAAGACTGCTTGTCTAACTTTAAATTTAAATGTACCTCTAGTATCATTATATTTAAATAAAAAGCTAGGTTGTCAGAAACGTTGCAATTTTAATTATCAATTTATACATAACAGAATTACTCCACGCACTCAAGTTTTGCTCCTCATAAATTTATACATTCTGTCAATCCTAGAATCACTTTTGAAAAGTTTTTGTTATAGATAATTTTGAAAACAATAATGGATTGATTTACAATATGAAAATTTTGACCATAGCGTATACAAATATCAAATAATTTGTTAGCTAAGCATCAGTGTGTATGTACATCATTCACCACTCCAAATGTGTTAATCTTCGATTCGCTAGGTGCTATTGCTGCAGCCAGCATCTTGACTGGAAGTGTTTGAAAAATAGTGTAGAGCTGCTGCTACTGATTTCGGTGGTATATTAAACAGTGGATGGGTGGGTAAAAGTTCGTTCCGAAGGTCACCAAGCACTTGAGGTTGCATCGCGGACTCCGAATGCTGGGCAATCGAGACTCCGCTCAGCGTATAACAGGTATGATATAAATCTTGCGGTCTAAAAGAAAAAATAAGCTTGTGATATTTAAATAATAAATGCTTGTTTTGAATGCTTAACGTACTTGCCGGGCTTATCGATTAGACCACCATTTGCTTTCTGGCAACACAGCAATATGTATTCTTGCAGTGCCTCGACATCGAAAAGCGTCTTCTCCATGGATTTTTCAGCACCAATTAATGTGGCCTGCGTTATTGGAATGGTAGCGCCTACCCAAAACGAGTAGCAACCATCTACTAGCTTATTGGTGCGTCCCTGGAAGCCACCCTCATAGATCATTTGACGACGCAATGTCCACTGCAATAGTGCTTTCTTATTGCACTTATCTGCCTGATTGAGCAATGCGAGACTGGCGATGCCACAAAAAGTGTAGCCGCCATGTGCCTCCAGGTCGGGCGCTCCCCCAAAGCCACCTTCGTAGGTCTGACAGCTAGCAATCCATTCGGCGGTCCCCGTGAACAGTTCACTCAGCACTGACTCAGGCACATTGGTTAGCTTGGCACAGGAGATGGCACAGTAGGCACCACGCACGTCTGTCTCACCATCTACGTGGAGGCGGAAGGAACCATCGTCATCACGCACGCTGAATAGAAACTTAATAAGTGATTCTCGATCGATGGCTTGATATGCGCTCTGTGTGCCAATGATGCATAAACTATTGACTGCAGCATAGGTCGGAGCCAGGTGTGCATATTGCCCTGGTCCGCCGCCAAAGCCGCCCGTAGGAGCACGACATCTGGAAGCATACAATTGAAAGCGTATTATTAATATCCATAATTAGGGTGTTATTAACGTACTTTATGAGAAATTGCACGACGTTGTCTAGTGTCTGTTCGTCGAAGTCGAAATTCAGCAGTTGAGCCGACTGCAGTATCCAGTAGATGCACCAGGGCCGACTGCTGTCCAAGCATTCATAATTGGATGGCAGTTTTCTAAGCATCAAATCCAAATATTGTTGGTGCTGCACGCGATTTAGCTGTGTTGCGCGTGGATTTACGAACTGTGTCTGTACGAATCGATCGTAACATTTTTCAACCGAACTCTCTGTTTTAATCTACAAAAGCAAGAGTTTGCTTTATTATTTGTCGTTGACACAGATAATTTGGATTACTCACCTGCTCCCTGGAAGTTATTGTGGATATTTTCTCGTCGTCGTATTGATAGTTTTTAAGCTCTGCAAAGTTGCGGAAAAAGAGCTCGTCTGATGACCACATGGTTTTGATATCCGAATTGAAAATTAAATTAATATAAATACAAAATTGTGCTACTTGTATCAATTCGTCCAGAATGTGTTTGATCGAACAACCTACCAAAGTGAACTAAGGCGGAACCACTGGTTCGTTTGCGAAAATAAACAACATCATATGTTTCTGCTATATAACAGATTTACGTGATTTTTCTGTTAACAACCATTCTCTGAACAAAAACAAGCAATGTATTCCTAGCAAATACAATATTTTAGTTCTGTACTTTAATTTTGTACTATTTTATAAGCTGTTGAATAAAAATTATACCATTAAATTTTATAACAGAGGCGTAACAGAGCTTTATTAAATTTGTTATCGATCTGAATCAATTCACAACAATTCACCGCTTCTGAAAGCGGTTACAATTTGATATATGTAAGTAGAAATAAATGGAATTTGAACTAAATTAATTTCTTAAATAGAATGAATATTACTAATTTATATTTAATGGTTGAAAAAGTAAACTCTTCTTAAACTTTATAAAGATAATTTTTTAATTCATTCAGCTATATATTTTAATTTTTTAAATTTAAATTTGTTTTTAAGGTTGCAAATTTCCCTAATTTGTTTAAATCAAGAGATTAATTTTTTGTTGCATCCCGCGCTCATTGCGTCAACATTTATAATATTGAAGCACTGGTAAATAACGAAACGAAGGGAGAGTATCCTATACACCGTAAAATTTCTTCGTTCACGTAATTATTATTATTATTATAACTTATTATTTCTTCATAGATTCCGCAGAAATGCATGTGTGAAACATTTTCATGCACAGCATCAACATGCTCTTTGTCGGCATCTTAATGGGTATGGGGTACAGAAAAAAAGAAACCAGACGACCTCGACAAAGTTGTCGCAAAATACATGCATATGGATACAAGTCTTATATTCACGGTATAGGGAGAGGCAAAATTATATGTTTTCCAATGGCAGCCAAAGAGTTTATGAATAAAAAGTGAAATTAAGAGAGTATAAACTTAACTGGTATCATATATTGCATCAACTATAGGGAGAGCAACTGAAGTCAATACAAAGGCAAGTGTAAGCTAAAAATCTTATAAATAAAATAAACAACAAAATCTTAGCATATAAGCCCGCTCATAAAAGTTTACTTCCAGGCGACAACGATTTCAGGCCAAGAAACAACAAGCCGAGCCACAGTTGCGACCACTTCCAATAAGCAAAAACGAAAGACTTCAATTCAGTTTGGCGAAGACAACGAACTCGAAAAGAGCTTCACGCGGACAAAAAGTAAAGGCCCCATAGCTAAAATCACGTCTACGTATCTCTCTGTCTCTCTTTTACAAAACGGTACGTGCGCGCATGCGTATGCGTATGCATAACTCTATATACATACATGCATATACACAGTATATGTTTATGTGTACGTGTATAAGTATTTGTATAAAGCTGGCTAAAAGTTAAATGCAGCAACAGCAACATCAACAACAACAACAGCAACAACTTCACCAACGGCACAGCAAAAGAAATAACGAATAATTGAAAAGAAATCAAATGATAAATAAAAATTTGTGGTTTTTTTTTAAAAAGTTTGTGAGCCACGCAAGCGTTTTGAGAAAGAAATCGTATAAATGTATGTGTTTATCTGTATGTGTGTGTGTGCTTTAATAAAGTGTTAACTGTGATTAGCTAAATCAAGCCCAGGCTTTGAAAAGTGAAATGCAAAGGTCATATGCATCAATAAATTTGTCCAAGTGAAAACTAAAGAAAAGTGCGACGACTCCACTCTACAGCTGTCGTAGCAGCATTCACTTCACATTCTCTCAATCTATACTGGAATAGCTGCAGCTAGGCCAACAAAATTTCTCTTAGGCTTTATAATCGTCATCAAACGGTACAATTTGATATATATGTATGTATGTGTGAAAGTTTTTATGCGCCAGACACAATAGCAAAAAGCACAATCTCATTCTCATTTATGCTGTTGTAGTAAGATTTATATATTTCTTTCACTTCTGCTTCTTCTTCGTATTCTTCGCCTTCTTCGTTTTCGGTTGGCTAACGGGTTTTGTGTAAGACTCTGGCAACACTTTTGCTTTTTATAAGCTGCATATAAAACGGGCTATTTTGCGATTTAGATTCGGTCTTATTTTTTGCGTTGTCTTGGCACACAAACCCGTTCCAAGATATTAACAGCAACAACAACAAAACAGACAAAAATATTTAAAAGAGACACTGCGACACACACAGACGCCTTTAAAACAAGTTGTTCTATAAATTGAAAGTCTTAATTAACAAAGACTTGTTAACTATGGTTCGATGCTATGGCTAAGCCTGTTATTAAGTGAAATGAACCAAATGAAATCATTTGGAATAAATGGCATTTAATACAACTTTTTCCAATTGACTCTTTCATGTTTACCACTCAAAATATTTGCACAATTCGAAAGGCCTCAACGCCCACACGCAAGCCAAGCCATAGAGATGAAGAGTTGTCTGAGTAGCTTGTTGCTGGGTAAAGTCGATTGCTCTCTTTCTCTCTCCCTTTTTCGCTCTCTTTTCTATTATTTACTTTACTCTTCTCGCAGCGACTGTCAAGATCTTTGCATAAATATACAAAGTTTGTTTACTAAAATCTTTTATGGAAGCTTAAGAAATGTATAGAAAAACATAGAAAGATTTCGCATGTGAACATTATGAATTAAACTAAATTGTTACATATATAAAATTATATTATATCTTATATGTAAGACTTTATACTCAGCATTCCATTTAGACTCTTTTATGGTTACCACAGCCTGAGCAAACCTTCTTCCACTTTAACTTAAGTACAGCTTCATTATGAGCCGATTCACCTCATTTCAATGAGTAAAAAAAAATCCCATAATTTAATACCAGTTTTGAATTAAGTTACGCACTGCGTAAAAACCAAGTTTTGTGCAAACTCTTATGACTCATAGCGCAACAGACTAAATGTACCTTAATATAACTCTATTGTATGGAGCCGAAAATCCTTAATGATATTTCAGATTATTGCACTAAAATGCTGTCAAAGTTATGAGCAAAGTTTACGAATCGTACAAAATCTTCGTGACTCACACGTTGTTGGCTGGGGTCTTGAATTTATGCATGTGCATAACGGTAATACGTTGGTAAATAATACGAGACTGGAACTTGACTCAATGAGTTGGCAAAATGAGTATACAAAAAGAAAAAAAATCAAGCTAAAGAATTTTGAATTGACAGAGCTTGAGTGGATGTTGAGGTGTGCTGCGAGCACTGAGCAGAATTGGCAGATAAAGCTCAAGGCACATTCAACGTAAGGCAGCTGCACTTGAACTGAATTTGTCAAACCAGTCTGGAACGAATGTTCAACTAGCCAGAAACAATTTAGATCAATAACTAGTGAGAACTAGAAACTTTTCTTTAAGTATTATTGAACTATTTAGTATGTCTTAACTATTCTAGAATTCCGCTGAAAGACTTATTAATTTGTTAAATTATTTTTAAATAAATTTTAACATTATTTTCGAGATTTCCAGAATTTATTTACGAATTTTTTAAAACTATCTCTAGATGAGTTTGAACTGGTTATGAACGTTAATTGATTATTTCTTATACAGCCTTCAAATTGTTTTGAAACAATATTTGAAATATTCTCGAATAATGCTGAGTTTTCTGGGTAATATTTCTCGAGTATGCAGCAATCGTTCTCGAACCTTTCTCAAACATAATACATTCTCGAACCATTTTACAAGTAAATAGTCCTCATTTATACTAGAACTATTCTTGAACTATTGACTAACCAGATTTGTATAGCACAATTGATTGAACCCACATTGATCGCAGCTAGATCATGCTGCCCTGCCATGTTCACCGTTCTGATCATATTCATTGCTGGCCATTATCGCAGTCATTGTTTGGGCATGTTTTGCGCAATGCCACTTTTAGAGTCGCTTATTGTTCCTGTTGTACTCCAGCAGAAACTGGTCTCTGTCTTATGATACAAGTCGGACGCAGTTGCTGCGGCAGCTGCTGTTGCTGTTGCTGGCTGTCCGGCTTGGCGTGGCCGGTTTGGCTAGGTGGGTCGGTCCATTCGTCGGTTCGATTGGTTCGTTTTCGTTTCCGTTGTTAAATGTAGCAATCAATTTCAACAATTTTCAACAGCCAGCAATATGTAGTTGCAACTACCGAGTTGTTGTTGTTGCTCTTGTAGCTACAAGTATCTTATTCATAGATCGTTTTTATTATAACAATATTGTTGTTGTTTTTGCTTTAGACTTTCACTTTTTCATGCATTCGTTTTGTGTTGGGCTGTAAGCCATTTGATTTGCCTTCTTGGGCATGACATATATACAACAGTATATATGTATGTATATGTATTTACTCTATGTACTTTGTATGCAGAAATATATTGCTGAAATTTGTAAATGAATTTTATGTTGCGAGTCATAATGAATCAGCAGGCATTAACGTTCACTGGAATACTCCGTACGTTAACGCCCACTGTCCAAGATATATGATAGTATGAAAAGTCTTATGCTTTATACATCAGCACATATAGTATATATATTTATAAGAGCAGTTTGTGTGGTTTGTGCTTCAAGGCCTGCTTGCTGTACTCTTAGCGGAACCGGTCTCTTATCGTGGATCTATAAAAAGTTGTTTTAATTGTGTCTTTTCTTAATCCTTTGCTGCTCGATTTTTCTAGCTGTACATTTTTATAGAGTATTGGACATGAATGCGTAATGAATTAGCTTTTCGACTGAAAATTTCATTTGCTATGTTTGGCACGTTTCTGTTTGCGTATTTATCTTTTCTGGGGGTCAACTGGGGTTACTGTCGTGAGCTGTTGTTGGGAAAGGCATAAATGTTTGTCTATCTATCCATGTCTTAAATGATTCTAGCCGAACATATACTATACATGCTCGAGACTCGATTTCATTCAGTTACTCACTTCCTACATTTGAGTGAATATTTAATTCTATCAAAATGTAAAATGTTAGCTGCTTATATATATGCATATATACACAATATAAATATGCCAGTGAGAGTAAATCTGTGGAATAGTATTTTATTTATATAAATAGAAAACGAAATAAATGGAAAAAGAAA